GTCACTAAACACAAATATTTAGGACTCATACTCACATCAGACTTAAAATGGAATGAACACATAGAATATATTGAAAGAAAGGCAATGAAAAAGCTTGGCTATTTGCGAAGGAGGCTTGTGAATGCCACAACACACATCAACCTTCTCACGCACAAAACTTTCATTAGACCAGTATTAGAATATGGAGCTGCAGTGTGGGATCCCTTTACTGAGTCCACTATTGAAAAATTAGAAATGTTCCAAAGAAAATCTGTCCGAATCGTTTTTAATTGTTATAGTTGGCGTACTTCCCCTTCACTTCTACTAATTAAAGCGGATCTCAAAAAACTACAGGAGAGAAGAAGAATGAAGAGGCGGAAGCTTTTTTACCTCATTTTCCACGACAAAATTGGTGTCAACAAAACAGTGCACATTAGACAAATAAGTGAATATGCTGTGCGCTCACATCATTCAAAGAAAGTTTTAGATTACGTAAAGCGAACAGACACATTCAGGTTTTCATTTTTTCCAAGAACTACCCGTGAGTGGAATGGCCTATCACCCGATGCTGTACAGTGTCCAACAGTTGATTTAATTCTACATGCTCTCAATAACCCCTAACAGTTGTTTTTTTGTACAGTCATGCAGCCCAGAGTTACGCAATGCTTCCATTTTTTTAGTACGTTTCAGTCAGCAAAGCTATGTCATTGTTGTAATGTTTTTTTTTTTAGTTTTTGTGAATTGATACAAAAGTGTTGAATTGTAACCACAGTCAGTATGCTGTGTGATGTCAATAATGTTTTTTGTAGTAAACATTTCTGTATGCCCATCTCTGCTTAAGACCTGGTAAACAGGTCAGCAGTATGTAATAAATAAATAAATAAATAAGTAAATAAATAAATTAGTGAATGTCGTAACTACTTTTTGTCATTTTCACTGTACCCCTAAACTTGTTGTGTAGCGGAAGCCACAATACGCCACAAAATATCTCCTGCTCTTTGGTTGGTGTAGGGACAAATCAACTGATAATTCTTACTCCAGAGCAGTTACTGCAACGCGATATATAGTATTACGGATAAACATCAGAAATACACCACGACCTAATGGAGGCCACCAACAACCTATGAGAATAAGCATCAGAGATGCACTGAGGTGTGATGGTGGCCAGGAACGGCTTATGATCAGTACAACTTATTGCCGACAACCCAATTATGAGCGTCTCTCAAGCAGCTGCTCAGTAGTCCGCGCAGCATGGAGCAGTTGTAAAGCATACTGCACGCTGTTCATAGGCAGCAAATTAAACACAACCTGCCACCATTCACTGCTGCCTCTTTGTGCGAGACTTCTAAGTGTGTTTTTCGAAGACACATCACTCGCGAGAACAATAGCAGCAAGCCATCACTTTGCTGGCTCAACAAGGTACTTGCTACACCCTTTTGTGGTGAGATGTGCACAGACACAAATGAACTTGGCGTCGTCAATCAGCCGTTATGCCATATTAGCCGTGTTGTTTGTGTTATCAGCTGTGGCAACCGGCTAAGCGGATCAACTTGGTTTATAGTGGCTATATATTTTGCTATATAAAATTTCTAGGCATCTTTATTTAGGGAGGTGACTTCTCACCTGTCTTTTAAAATAAATAACTTCACTTTTTTGTTACTGTACAATTACTTTTCACTTTTCCGGCCTTTTTTTTCTGGATTTTCAACATTGATATCATAAACGAGTGACATTACTTTTTTCTATGTAGCACCACCTTGTATTGAATGGTATTCGTTGCACTGAATAACATTTGAACATTTGAACCTAATGACATCAACACCTCCAACATGACAAAGGTATAAGTAATAGACATCTGTCTGTTTTTAAACAGTGTGACGTCTCTGCGGGCACCCCGCAGACTATACCCTCTCTCGGAGCAGGTGCTGGTTGGCAAGAAAGTTCCACCGTCGGCATCTTTCTGCATAACAGAGCTGCGTGTCTGCATTCCTTCGACAGAAATTTCTGCATTGCTATGTTCTAAAGTCACAGCTTTTTAAAGGAGGGGGTTGCGGAAGGGTCACTTCTTATAGTGTGGAAATTTGCTCGTCGTATATTTATGAATGGAGAAACTTTATTTAGAATACTGAAAGACACAAGTAGTGCGTAGTTGGCTTCACTCACGTAGATGGCAGCCACAAGAAAGTCTGATTTTTTTCTAAATTGAACGTTTTGAATATATAGTGACTGGCACTTTGAGAAATATTTGCATCGCATGAATGTAAACTTATTCAATTTCCATCGTGGTATGTTCAATGCAGTTCTAAACGAGGTAAATCATTGGCGGCAGCTTGGTTTTGAGCTGCTGTGCGCAACGTCACGAATAAGATTCTCATTCATTGTGCAAAACTAATGCGCATTGTCACTTCATAAGGATCAAGCCGTAAAAGTACAAAGTAGATGAGAAATGAAAATCTCCACTGTTGCCATTAACACGTATCAGGTATCCGATAATATCAGCTATAGCTGTGGTGAAGCGTATATGCAGACTCGGCAACGCCACAACGTTGCTTATAGCTCATGCGTAGTCGTACATATCACCCAAAGATCATGCACTTTTATTTTTCTGCACGCCGCGCATACGCTGAAATGTACCCACTCGCAGATTATCGCGTCAAATGCATTTTTATCTTGACTGAAATGTCAGATCGTAAAGTTCCATCGACAACCACTTACTGCGACCGGCCCACAACGAATACCAGTGTTTTCGCAAACAGGACGCATGGCGTTATTCGCACTGCACACACCCACGCACAATATTCACAGCTTCACCGTCCGTATAAAGGTGCACCAATATTGTAGATGCCTTTCAACGCACACTACACAACACAGTCAACACTGCACATTTTTGAAGACGATGCCGCTGTTCCTCGCACAGGCCGCCACGTGTGTTCACTTCTCTGAGATTAACAGCTGATCAACGAGGCAAATATTTCATCACGCACTTCACCACACACCTAGATGTTCTCTGCCACATACAACGGCTAATGTCGCCACTGTGAGATGAAGATTAAGCTTTCAAAAAGAAAAAAAAAAAAACTTGCTCCAAGCACCGAGCGACTGCACCCCACTCGGCCACTGGCGGGAGTGTTTTGCCAACCAGCGCCTTGCACGTGCACAGGTGACGTCACGCTGTGACGTACCCTGGTAGAGGTCTGTTGTGTGAGCTAGTAGGTGATACGCTACACATTAATACTTGTATAGTAGTTTGAAGGAGCAGTCTGCCCCACGTGGCGGGACTCGCTCGCTGGATTTCGTGCCGACCGGTTGTGCGCCCGCGCTCTCCGCGCGCTTGCGACCTTCGGCGTCACCGTAGCTCTGGCCGACTGGGCTCGCCCTACGTCACCTCCTGCCGCCGACGGCTTTCGACGACAGTGAAGCTCTGACTTACTGGACCTGCTCTACGCCATCTACAGACGCCGACAACATCTCTCGCAAGTGTACCCCGTCCTCGGACTCCAGTGACCGTGTTTCCATCTTTCCTGTCTCTCCTATCCCCTCAGTTTGTTGTTGCTTCTTCTTCCTCTTTTCTATACCTTTACTTCTACCCTTTTTATCCCTCCTCACCCCCATCCCTTGTGAGCCCTGTGGCGGTGTCGCTCACTGAAGCAGACAATAACGGGGCTCACTTTTCTCTTCCTTTCTCTTTATTAAGAACCACTCATTTTGCCCCACGTGGCAGTGAAGTGGTGCCAGTTTTCACGCATTGGCAAGAAAGTCTTGTAGTAGTACTTGGCAGTTAGATTACTTGTATATGCCACAATCCCAGGAGATCCTTATTAACAAGGTTTTACTGTATTGTGTAGGATTCTAGGAGTGGGGGGTTTATCATTGTGTCATTTTATTGGTGCTTGTCTTCACTTGTTGCCACTTTTGGTTTTTTGCATTTGGCATTTTCCTATATTCAAATCAAGGCAAAGTGTCATTTTGCACACCATAGCCTTTGTATAACTTAGTTGAGATGTGTTTGCGTAATTACTTAGGGATTTCTGTGCCCCTTTTTTCTAAGCACTAAAATAAAATAAAAATGCACAAATTACTTGCTGTGGTAGCTTAGCACGGAAGATGTCACGGGGACAAGCTTAAAAGTGCGTGATCGAATCCCAGTTGTGGTGGCCACATTTTGAATTGGGTAAAATGCAAAAAGCACCTGTGTGCTTAAATGTAGGTGCATGTTAAAGAGCCCCAGGTGGTTGTAATTAATCCAAAGTCCCCCGCTACAGCATGGCTCACAATCAAGGTGCAGTTCTGGCACATGAAAACTCAGTAATGAATATTAAGTGCATAAATTATTGTAGTAAACATGGTGCTATGTGTTTTTTTTTTTTTTCACATATTTTTTCAAACTGTTAGAGTGCTCCATCCGCTATTGTGTATGCCAAGGTAATGCATTGGAATCAGAATAATAATGAAAATAGTAATCTTATGTTGGGGTTCATATTTAAAACATCTTTATTAGAGCTGCATTAAGTAATGCCACATTGAAATGCGAGAAGTGTGATAGTTTGAACATTCGCCAATGCAACTGGTTCTCTTTCGACAATCCTTTACAGTAAAAAATGTTCTTAGGTAAAGCTTGAACTTGTTAAAATCTATAGTGCGCATTTCAGTACACCATGGTTGAATTATATCCAAAAATAATTTCTATGGTGCAAGGGTGATCAGCTTTGCCAAGTTTCGCAACTACAAGGTGCAATGCTTGCTTGCACAGCTTTGGAATATAATCATGGGTGTCAAAAACTGTAAAATGAAGCTATACCTCATTATTTTTCACTTCGCTGCTTTAATAGCTGATGTACATAAAGGCTACAGGTTTTTGCAGGGTACTCTGTATTATTATTCATCTGTTTTATCTTCCGTGTGAATTGAGAATTCAGTTGAAATTTTTTGCTCTCACACACGCAGCCTAGCGACCAGGAGCAGATTCATGTGAGTTAAGTTTTCGTTTGAGTTATGAGGTGTCCTCTCTTTTTGTATTGCAGCACACGACTGTCGGCAGGCTTGTTCAAAAGACACACCTATTTAGAAGGTATGGGCTTAATCCTATTTTTTTCTAGTGTTTTATGAACCGGCTTGTCATCATATGAGAGCATTAGCAATTGTAATGGAGAAATGTTTCCTGAAGTCAAGGATATCTCATTGTGGAGCCTATGTATTGTTTCCTTGTTTGCAGTTTAATGCTTCATTACATACTTGCATATCAGTTAGTTTGCTTTCTGCCTGACCAAAACTTATACAATCAACTTGTGCAATAGACAGAAGTTGATGATACTCTAGGTTGACACTGGTGATATGGCAAGAGATTGTTAGAAAAAAGCATTAAGTTTGCCATGTCCAAATTGACGGAAGGCAGGCGACTGGACAGGTTTTGAACAGGGTTATCTGGTAAAGCTGTTAGCTTTTTGAATTCTGTGTCGTCCTGTGGCCCCACATGTAATATGCAGTGTGGGGATCTTTCATTCATCTCTGAGCACCAGATCTGTTACCTGTTGTCATTCATTGTATTATATTAAGTTCTATGGTCTTACTGAGAATTAAAGCAAAGAAATTGCATTTAAATACAATTTATTGCATCAGATTAATGGCTCGCCATGCACCTGATGGTAAATGTAATGCTTTACTGGGTGTTGTCTTTCATTTACCTGCATATTGTATTGAAACAGGGAGCAAAAACAAAAAAAAAAGGCCACAGCTCAGGGGTATATAACTGGAACATCAAATGACATTTTCAATGCCATTTGATGTCTATCTCAGTCAGATCAGATTTATATACTTGCATTAATCATTAAAATGTACCATATTTAAAAATTTTATATCTCTCTTCATTCGTGCTCAATGATAAAATGGAGTTGTACTCATGTGGTGCTTCTCAGGAAACAGCATCACTTGTACGTTAAGTAACCAGTTTGAGCCTTAATTTTTTTTATAATTTGTAGGTTTTAAAATTTATTTGCCATAGAAAATGAACAAGAAGAAATATATGAATATTTATTGTTAGATAAATCTAACTCTGCAGACTACTTTGAAATGTAGTTTGTGTGGTTGCATGTTATTCAATGAAGTGGTCATAAAAGTCTGTATTATTTTGCATGCAGCTGTACACAGGCAAGCTGCTGCTCTTGAAATTTGACTGAGCCTTAAAGCCAGTCAAGTGTGTGCTGTAATGAGGAAGGTTTTGACGTTCACCACTACCTATGTTTGTTTTTCTTTTCTCATTGCATGTAGTGTACACAAGTGTTGTGTTGTTTTGTCAAATTTTGTGTAGATGTTAGGCTGTCAACTCACGCTTGGAAAAAGTGGTGTAAAAATACCCTGTGGTGTACTGGTGGACCTTTCAAGCTAAATATAGTATTCCATGTCATTTTGTAGTCTCCCATACTAATGCGCATCATTTTTTGGTATAGTCCTCACTAGTGCCTACATCGTTGTCGTAATTTGCCATAAGTCCTCCTTTTTTCTTCTCTTACAGTAAAAGCACAGCATGATGCTGTGATGTAAGCTTTTGCTGTTGCAGTCTTCAAATGCTTATCCTGTGATGTGCACATAAAAGAAATGTGATTGTGAAAACTTAATAAAGGTGGACTACATTAACTGTATATGTATATGTAGTGTGATGTAGTACCTTGAATTGTTGCAAAAAAATATTAGAAACAACAGTATGATTCAGTATTGAGGGGAGATATGAGTTGAAATACACATTTTTTTTCTTCAAAATACATATTTTATTGTTTTTATTTGCTTTCACAAGTACAGTTTCTCTACAATCATGACAGAGAAACTTAAGACTGTAATTAAACTTGAAGCAAGTTAAAAGTGCTTTTAAAGAGCACAAGTTGGCTACTGAAAAACTAAAAAGAGCTTATTGTTTAGAGACTCCTGGAAATTGTCACCTGGCTACTTGCCGTGGCATTTTGCACGAGGGGTTCACTAAAACCAAACGCTCAAAATACCTTTGATTGCCAAACTTTCGTGATAGAAAATATCATCTCAAACAAACATATCTGTTCCGCATAGATGAGCTTTCACTTATACCTTTAAGATGCGTTTTTTTTTTCAAGATCCATTTTCGAGCAACTTCTTGAGTTTGGACATCATGTTTTTGGTACTTCTGATACCTCAATAAGGTTGAAATTTTTCCCACATATTCCTTAGTATGTTAAGGGTGCAAGTATATTCTTTAAAACTTGATATTGCCTGTATAATAATTACTAACCTAAAGTAAGCAGATAGTATGGGCTGAGGATTCTAAGAGTTCTCATCTTACAATTTTTATTGACCATCAAAATGTTTTATACACACTTTCTTGATAGCTACTTGCATTCTACACTTAATGTAGAGCAATATGAGCCATTATTGGCACAGAACTCTAAAGTTTGTTCAAAACAAACTAATACACATTTTCATGGCACAAATGAAAACTGTGCAACTTACTCTAAAACTAATTACATATTTGAAATCTGCATGAAATCTTGCCCAAATTTTTTTCCAAAGTATGACAAATGCAATTATGTAGTTTAAATTTCAATATTTTTTATTGTATAATAAAAATTGTATGTATACCTGTACTAGGGTAGGTAAAATATGAACTTTTTACATCGATTATTTTCACGGGTATTACATATTTTGTATGTGCTTCCTAATTAGTTATTTGCACTCTACACTTTATTTGAAGCATTATGAACTATGAATGGGAAAAAAATTACAGAAGTTTAGGGACGAAAAGAGGGGGGGGGGGGGGGCAAAAGGGTTAGGGTTTTCACTTTGTCATGTTGCAGAGCTAAAAGTGTGTAACTTGCAAAAAACTAAGTATATATTTGTAGCCAGCACAAAAAGTTCTATAATGAGCTCAAGTTTCATTGTTCTAGTGTGAATATTAAAAGAAGTGTCTTTGAGTAGCATCTCCCTTAAAATTTATTTGCCATAGAAAATCGACAAAGAGAAATATATAAATACTTATTGTTAGATAAATATAACTCTGCAGACTACTTTGAAGTGTGGTTTGTGTGGTTGCATGTTATTGAACGAAGTGCTCATAAAAGTCTGTATTCATTTGCATGCAGCTGCACGCAGGCGAGCTGCTGCTCTTGAAATTCCACACAGCCAAAGCTAGTCAAGTGTGTGGTGTAATGTGAAAGTTTTTGACGTTAAATGCTACCCATGTTTTTTTTTGTTATTGCATGTGGCCTACACGAATGTTGTGTTGCTTTGTTAAATTTTGTGTAGATGTTCGGCTGTCAACTCACACTTAAAATGAGCAGTGTGAAAATTCTCTGTGGTGTACTGGTGGACCTTTGAAGCTAAATATAGTACTCCATGTCATTTTGTAGTGTCCCATACTGCACGTCATTTTTTTGGCATAGTCCTCACTAGTGCCTACATCGTTGTCTTAATTTGCCGTAAGTCCTCTTTTTTTCCCCTCTAACTGTAAAAGCACAGCATGATTCTGTGGTGTAAGCTTTCGCTGTTGCAGTCTTCAAGTGCTTATCCTGTGATGTGCACATAAAAGAAATGTAAATGTGAAAACTTAATAAAAGGTGGACTACATTAACTCTATATATGTAGTGTGGGGTCGTACCTTTACTTGTTGACAAAAAAAATATTAGAAACGATAGTCTGATTCAGTATTAAGGGGAGATACGAAGTGATATACACAACGTTTTTGCTTTTCCCAAAATTACATATTTTATTGTTTTTATTTGCTTTCACAAGTTTAGTTTCTCTATATTTGTGACAGAAAAACTCAAGATTGTAACTAAACTTGAAGCAACTTAATATTTCTTTTAAAGAGCACAAGGCGGCTACTAAAAAACTAAAAAGAGCTTATTGTTTAGAGTCTCCTGGAAATTGTCATCTGACTGCTTGCCATGGCATTTCGCATGAGTAATTCACAAAATCCAAACGCTCAAAATACCCTTGATTGCCGAACTTTCATGATGGAAGATATCATCTCAAACAAACATATCTGTTCCGCATAGATGAGCTTTCGCTTATACCTTTAAGATGCGTTTTCTTAAGATTCATTTTCGGGCAACTTCTTGAGTTTGGACACATGTTTTTGGTACTTCTGATAGCTCAATAAGCTTGAAATTTTTCCCTCATATTCCTCAGTATGTTGAGGGTGCAAGTATTTTCTTTAAAATTTGATATTGCCTGTATAATTATTACTAACCTAAAGTAAGCAAATTGT